ATGCCGCAATCCTTTTTCCTCTGTTCTCCTCTCGGGATCTTGGGCACACATGCACATGCGCCTGGCATGAGTTTAAGCCACCAGGTCCAGGACGCGAACCATGGTCGACTACGTGGCAGTCCAGCAACATAGCCATTACGCTAACTGCTGGTCCCTCCATGAGTCTCTTGATTTCAGTCTTAATCTCTTCAGTAGTCATGAAGTCATTCAGAAGTAGGTTATTTAGTTTCCATGTATTTGTGTATTTTCAAGGGTTTTTCCTGAGATTCACATCAAGTTTAATTTCATCACGGTTGGAGAAAATGCTGGATATAGTTTCTATGCCTTTGAATCTGTAAAGGCTGGTTTTGTGTTCTATCATATGGTCAATCTTCAAGAAATTACCATGCAGGGCTGAGGAAAATGTATATTTTGTGTTCTTTTTTTTGCGGAAAGTTTTATAGATGTCTATCAAGTCCATCTGATTTATGATATTATTTAGGTTCAGAATCTCTGGTTATTTTTTGTCTCGTTGACCTGTCTAAAGGAGAAAATGGGGTGTTGAGATCTCCAAAAATTATTGTGTTACAGTCTATCTCTCCTTTTAGATCTAGCAGTCTTTCCTTTTCATATTTGGGTGCTCCTGAGTTGGGTACATAGATATTTATAAGCATTATATCTTCTTGGTGTATTAGTCTTTTTACTACTATATAATACCCCTTTTATCTCTTCTTACCATGTTTGTCTTAAAGCCTATTTTGTCTGAAATCAGTATAGTGACTCTCACTCTTTTTTGGTTTCCATTTGCATGGAATACCTTTTTCTAGCCCTTCACTTTCAGTCTCCGTATGTCTTTATACATGAGATGGGTATCTTGTAGGCAGCAGATGGAGGGTTTCTCATTTTTAATCCATTCATCCAGTCTGTGTCCCTTGATTGGAGAATTTAACCCATTAACATTCAGCGTTATGATCGACATTTCCAGACTTGTCCCTACCATTAAGTTGGCCATATTCTTGGTTGTTTTCTGTTTTCTTATCTCTGTCAATCTGTCTTTAACTTTTTTGGTATAGTACTACTTTCAGAATTTTTTTTTTTTTGGAGAGGTTTTTGCTATAGGGCGCATGCGCTCGCCAGACAGACAGAGAGAGACAGAGAGAAATCACCCCCAGGGGGGATGGTCACACTGCAATCCCTTCTCTTCCATTCTCCTCTCGGGATCTTGGGCACACACACACATGTGCCCGGTGTGAGTTTAAACCACCAAGTCCGGGACTTGAACCGTGGTTGACTACAGGGGAGTCCAGCGACATAGCTATTACGCTAACTGCTGGTCCCCTCCTTTCAGAATTTTTTGAAGAGCTGCTCTGGAGTTGGTAAATTCTTTCAGGTTTGTTTTCCGAGAATGATTTTTTATCTTATTTTCCCATATGAAGGATAATCTTGCCGGGTAAAGTATTATTGGTTGAAATTGTTTTTCATTTAACACTTTGAATATATTTCCCCCTTCTTTCCTTGCTTGCATTGTATCCGATGAGAGGTTCGGTATTAGCCCGATGGGATAGCCTTTGTAAGTGATTCAATATTTCTCTCTTGCCAATCTTAGGATCTTGTCTTTGTCTGTGGTTTTGACCAATCTAGTTATGA